GTGTAATTCGCCATGTTACTGCATTAATAAAAAGCCTTCACGTGCCAGTGGTGCTGCCTTAAATGATGAAATGTGATGCAAGAGCATGACTATGTGAAGTACTGAGCATGCCGCTGTCGCTAGGAGGACTGAATTGGCATAAAATGTCGTCTTAGCTAGACAGAGTCTGCTATAAATGCAATTAAAGATGTATGGCGCTGCATGTCAAACATTAATTTTCTGTTTCAGGTATTGTGAATATTCTGCAGCATTACCTCATTTTTCTGCTGGTGAAACTCCATAAATTGCTAATTTTCGGCTAGAAGTACAATGTTACTGTTAGGGGGAACATTCCTTACAGCTGAATCACTGTTTCTCGGTGTCCTGAGGAACACGATGCAGGCGGCCATGACTGGAGGGGATCGACTCGCCGAGGATTCGTCCAGAAGTGGTGGGTGGGAAAGACGAGTCTGGGCTTGGAGCAGTGCTGAGAGGGCTTGGGGAGAGGATTGTAGTGGAGCTCCATCCCCATTCCACTCCTAGCAGCTCTCTGGCCATCCACCTCCAGTTCCACCCGTCGCAGTGGAGAGAAGCCGTGCCAACCGCCCCGGGCCTCCGTTCAACTCGTTTAGGGAGAGGCAGGTGTGGCTGAGCTAGGAAGAAAACCGGAGCAGCACTGAGAATTAAGTGCCAGTGCCACTCCCGTTCTGCTTCCAGCTCCAGCCATCCCCTGCGTTGCTTCCTCCCGTTCCTGCCTGCATGTTCTGTAAATCAGGACATAATTTGGAGGGCTGGAAGGGAGGAAGCTGTAGGAGGGTGGATATTTTAGCGCTTTTCTGGGGAAACGGGGAGGATTCTTTTTTTTTTTTTCTTTTCCTTTTTTAAAACAATGGCTAAGTTAAAACAAATGTGTGTTTGAATGTTGAAACCAGATACTTAACACAGAGAATCTTCCAGCAAGAAAATGCACCAACAGAGATGAGATTGCATGATAAATTATTTTAAATTTGTACTGTATCTTTCTGGAAAACTTATTAGCAAAATGAAACTAGTCTGTAATTTATACTGTAAGAACTATAATATAAATTTTAAGTAAAATTGCCTATACCAATTTCAAATGCTTGTTTTTACCATGGTAGTTCTTTAAAAAAAATTAAATTTCTTTCCATTAGCACCTGTACTAGAATTTGACTATCTCATCTGTGGAGACTGTGGCAAAGAATTCATGGACTCCTACCTTATGCAGCACTTTGATTGGGCAACATGTGATAATTGCAGGTATTGCAAATAATCAGGAGACTGCTGGCTTTTAATTTAATTATAGTCTGTTTAAAATGCTGTCAGCAACGAAGCATTTTTCAGTAACTTTGCACTTCCTGACAAAGTAACTGGAAGTTGACTGATCAACCTGGAACAACACAGGAGCAATGTCTCCAGAGACATGAATAGATCTTTGCATAACGTTATGGAAACGTAATGTCTTGAGAGCAGTTAGTGTTTGTCCACATGGAGATGAGAGTCTTGTCTGCCTGCAGAGAGCTGTAGAACAAAAATACTGTTTTCTGAATGTAGAAGAGGTTAGGGGGGCGTTTGCTGACCTGGTGAATCAGCCTAAGTGAAGTTAGGACTTCGGTCAGCAGGAGCGGGCTGGGAGCCTGGCTGCCGAAGGGAAGGGCACTCTGGGAAGTGACCGGCTGCCCTGCAGGGTAAGCAGAAGGTTGACCTTGAGCAGAAGGCTGCCTCTTTAACAGAAAAGGCTCCAAAAGGCCGAGATAACCAGGGCCATTAAGCCGGCCGAAGCAACCAACCACCATGAGTAGGGAATGAATGGGTTGGGGGGAGGGAAGTGCTCACATCTTTGGCCTCAGCTCCCCTGCTGCTGCAGGGAGTGGTCACGGGTGTGCTCATGGTGTGGGCAGTTCACCGTCATCGGAGACAAATGCTGCCTCTTTAAGGGAAGATGGCTGGGAAAAGGATATTGAGGAGTGGTTTTCCTTGGGACCAAGTAGCCCTTGTAGCTGTACATTTGGAGATTCCTTGGTGCATTAGCTTTTACTGTGAACTTTGAGTTCTAGTAAAGCTGCATTTACAGCAGCACTTCCTTGATGACCGTTGCTGGCACTAAGTGTTTGGCACATTGTTCTGGCTCAAGCAATTCAAGTTGTACTTCAGTCAGGATTGCGCAAATGTAATTTATTTCATTAACTCGTAAATGCTGCTGTGGTTACACAGTTGCTCATTATCTGTCTGGTACAAGTAAAAAACTTTTAAGGTCTTTATTTTACGGTTCCTCTGCCTACTTAGAAAGAGCTGCTCTGTCTGTTGCTAATCAGTTTCCGGCATCTAGAAGCATATGGAGTGTGTATATTCTCAGGTGATCTGACCTGTCTCACATTACACATTCTTTCTCGACCATGTGTCAGGCTTGGTTTTTTTTGTCCTCTAGAATTGCATCTGTTTTAGGTGAATACCTAAAATTACTTGTATTCCTTCTAAATTTCAGTTGCTTTGTCTTGCAAAACAAACAAACAAACAAAAAAAGCAAAAAAAAAAAAAGCCCTTGTAAAAGAACAACCTTCTCAGGCTGTTCAAATGGGAGAATTTAAAAACAATTTCAGTAAACTTAATCCAGGAGTCTAGCTAGCCGCTGGAATCCAAAGTTAACTTGCATGCATAAAACCCTGAGAGGGTGGGGGCTGCCTGTATTTCAGGAATGTTAGAAGTGATAGGGTTTTTGATGTTAATAATGTGTGGTTTTCTGGTGGAGCTTTCTCACAATTATTTTACATATTTCAGAGATGCTGAAGATAAACATAAGCTTATAACAAGGACAGAAGCAAAAGAAGAGTATCTTCTTAAAGACTGTGACTTAGACAAGAGGGAACCAGTTCTCAGATTCATTGTGAAGAAAAACCCTCATAATTCACGGTGGGGTGACATGAAGCTTTATTTAAAACTACAGGTACAGAAACTTAGCATATTTAAGACCTTTTTACCTTTGTACAACTTTGGTAGTCAAAATATGCCACTTCTGATTTCTGAAGTATTGTTATCAAAGCTAAGTGTTACGCATAGCTTGTGTGAATTTTCAGTGCAGTAAAACTAGAGAGCCGTGGTCCAAACTGATGAAAATACCTGATTCGAGAGCACTTTGAAGATGCTTAGGGACCACAAGCTCAGTAGTTTGCGAGGTTCCAGATCATGGAGTGCATCGCCCTTCAGTGCTAATCTGAAATGCATGGGGCAGCTGCTGCTGTGTGTGGCCCTTTGCAGCTCTACCCTCAAGGCAGCAGGAAAAGGCAAGTAGATTTTCCAGGGCTCCTGTCATTGTCTGGTACTTCTACAGGAATGCTGCTGTTTTAGTTGAATATGCAATAAATTAGAACTGAGTTTAGACTTTCCCAAGTAAGGTACATCTATCTGATATTAAAAATCAATCTTGCATCTTACTTGGAAAGGAATGCCATGTTTGTGGGTCAACGTGTGAGGCACAGGCAAGCTTTGGTTTATTGGTGTATGTAGG